CAACACTTAGCCGTCACCGGACACAAGCAGCAGTATTGTTTGCGAGAACGGATGTATGGTATTGGGGTGCGTGGTACCCGGTGAGCTAAGTGTTGTACTGGGGATGGGATTGGATTGGATTGGGATAGATTAGGATTGGGAGAGTTGTCTATGACTGACCAAAAGCCGGGGGGGTCTGGGGGTTTATTTCGTTTTTATACGTGCAAAGTGTCTCACCGGAAATAACACCGGTCTGATTCCCTGTGTGACACGTTATTAGTACGACAGATTAGTCGAGAACTATACGTGTGGACACTCCACCCCTGTACCTAATAGAGCGCGCGGTTTCCCCTTCACGAGTGTAGTGCGTCTAGCACACAGTCTCAAACAACGTTTTATAAACTATACTTACCAATAAACAGTACACAGTATAGCTATTACCAAATCATAGAGAACTTCAAGTAGAGTACTTTGTTGACCCATCAGAGCTTTGTTTACACCGTCAAAATATAAAAACAAGTCACATGTTCGTTGTGGCCCATAGTGTAGTGATGATTGCAAACACTTTAACATCCGAAGACTGACAAAGAGTACTTATACAACAATGAACACACAGAGTTGTAGACACACACAACACTAACACACACGGAACTTCTCAAGCACAAAGCCCTCGTTTCCGAGCGAGGGAACTGCAATGAGACCTTTATACGCCGTACAACTCCTTCTCACCTCACTGCGGGTTTCTCAAAGTGTAACGGTGCACGCGTCAAAGCGACAGTCTCTCTTTCGAGCAAAACAAACGGAAAAAAGATGTAGATAATAGTGTTCTCAAACAAAAGAGGTACGTCACCACTGAGCGCGTCCCGGAAGTCTTCGCGACCACTCGGTTCGCGTCGATTACCCTAACCCTAACCATAACCCTAACCCTATTCCTAACCCTCACATCAGATACTGACTGGTTTTCGGACCCCCCCTGATCCCCCCAATAAAGCAAAAAATGCACGTTTCAGAGTGGCCTTTTATTGTGGCCAGACTAAGGCACACCTGTGCAATAATCATGCTGTCTAATCAGCATCTTGATATGCCACACCTGTGAGGTGGGATGGATTATCTCGGCAAAGGTGAAGTGCTCACTATCACAGATTTTTTCAGATTTGTGAACAATATTTGAGAGAAATGGTTATTTTGTGTATATAGAAAATGTTTTAGATCTTTGAGTTCATCTCATGAAAAATGGGAGCAAAAACAAAAGTGTTGCGTTTATATTTTTGTTCAGTGTATTTGTCCAGAGTTTATCGAGCGATATCAGATAAACAATTATTTTTAATTACTTCACGATTACAGTCTTTAGGAAGAGCCTTCAGTTATTTTCTGATCATTTCTTGTCTCAAAACAAAACTTGTTTGCGGATTAAAGAAGAGTTGCAGAAGTTTGATTTATTGTGATCACAAAACTACTTACACATGACCAAGAAAAAATGTCTTTCATCCTCTAGCCTTCTGTCACGATCTGTTTCTGCTTCCTGTTTTATTTTGAAAAGTGTTCACCCCCTGTTAGGTCTGTTTTAACCTCAAGTCTGTTCACCTGGTGCCTTTGGCCCAATCCCAAACCATGCCCTACACACTTTACTGGTCTCACTAAGAAATCTATTAGAAAGCTGCAGCTAATTCAGAACGCCGCTGCTCGAGTCCTTACTAACACTAAGAAAGTGGATCACATCACTCCTGTTCTGAAGTCTTTACACTTCCTTCCTGTGTGTCAAATAATTGATTTCAAAATACTGCTGCTGCTTTATAAAGCACTGAATGGTTTAGGCCCAAAATACATCTCTGACCTCCTGCTAAATTATGAACCATCCAGATCTCTCAGGTCTTCAGGGACTGGTCAGCTTTCTGTCCCCAGAGTCAGAACTAAACATGGTAAAGCAGCGTTCAGTTATTATGGTCCAAATATCTGGAACAAACTCCCAGAAACCTGCAGGTACGCTGCAACGCTGACTACTTTTAAATCCAGACTAAAGACTTTTCTTTTTGCCGCTGCTTTTAATTGAACTATTCACATCTTAAACTGCACTGTAACTTTTATTCATGTATTTTTTTTTATCTTTATTTTATTATCTTTGCTTTTTAATAACTGTTTTTAAAGGCCATTTTCTTAATGTCTTTCATTGTTGTAAAGCACTTTGAATTGCCTTGTGTTGAAAGGTGTATATAAATAAACTTGCCTTGCCTTTCCTTGACCCCTACACACTAACCATGGCTGTATGAAGAGAAATGGCCTGACTCTCAAGAACAAAAACACTCAGATCTCCCTGGATCTTCCGGCGAAGTTCTGTACTCGTGGTTTCCCTAAACCCCACCTCGTAAACACAACATTTTGTCAAATCTTGGCTCAGTCAAATTAATGGAGGAAAATAACTCTATCTTCAACTACGAGCAAATAACTTGGACTTTTCTCTTCAAGTATACTGTAAGTCAAAGAGAAAAAGTCCTTCTGGGCCCAATGGCATCACGTGACTGACACAGAAGTTTTAGTCCCCCCATATGGCAACTATTAATATTTGCTCCAACACCTGGTGAACTTGCTGGGGGCTTGCCCTTAGTGTCTTACATTATGAGGCTCTTTAAAAAGTCTCTTTTTAATGCCTTTTTTACAGAAAAAAAGGGAGAGGACAGTACATGAGGGATTATGTAGGAGCAGAAGTAGCAGTGACTGCTTGTTAAAAAAAAAATCCACACTATTAAAATATTTTCCTTCCAACAATATCATAAATTATATGGAACATTAACGGAACATAAACGGTCTCACGGTCTAAAGGTTTATGTTATGGAGCCAGGATTTAATATTTTCAACTTTTTTTGAGAAATCATGTTATCTTTGTGTGGTGTACAAGACTAAATACTTAATGAGCCCCGGTAGCTGTTTCAATGGATAAAACACCAGTCATAGGCACCAAAGTAACTGAATCAACCCAAAAGTGAGAGTTGATTAATTTAAACTGCAGAAGCTTCCATTAGCAATTATAATAGCTCTGTGATTGGATGTTTTTTTTCTGATGTTTTTTAAGACATGGGAGGCAGTGACAAGTAATCATGATGGTGCTAAATTGTATTTATAAACCCCCCCTAACCTTAACCCTACGACAACACAGGTGTTTAAGGCATTTTGGAAAACTCTACTTTTGCCAGTGACCAAATTCCACATATCAATAAGAGTATATGAAGGTGTGATTT